TTCTAAAGGACAGCTTACAAAGGGCAGCTGATAACATGAAGAAGTTTGCTGACTTACACAGGAGTCCCAGGAGCTTCAATGTTGGTGACTGGGTATTCCTCAAGCTTCAACCCTATAGACAAATTAGTGTTTCTTCACATAAGCCTCATAAACTCTCTCCTAAGTACTATGGACCTTATCAAATTCTGGAAAAAATAGGAGAAGTTGCTTACAAGGTGGCCTTAGCAGAACAAGCTAAGATACATCCGGTTTTTCATGTATCTCAGCTAAAACAAAGGGTTGGAAATGATGTGGTTCTTCAAGTTGATTTTCCTAACTATGTAGAGGAGATAATTGATGAACCAGAGGAAATTTTGGATAGAAGATCAGTCATGAAGGGCAATCGATTGATATCGCAGGTTCTCATCAAATGGAAGCAACGCACACACTTGGATTCTACCTGGGAGCCTTACTGGGAGTTGGTTAAAAGATTTTCCACATTTGACCTTGAGGCAAGGTCCAAATTAAGGGGAGAGAATTTGCCAGGGACCAATGCTATCATGGTGTTCTAGCGATGGATGGAAGGTTTTGTCAAATGTTTTTGAAGCTGAAAATGAAGATCCTAGTGCTGTCATTTTGAGGGCATGCGGTGATGACTATCATGAGACTATATATTGTTTGGACGAAGGGATTTCATGCATCATGATTCCACCATTTCTTCCGATTTAGGTCGGCTAGTGGGGGCGTTGACAGCGATGCTGCAGATGAGCTGGGGCTTTGAATACACGACTGAGGTGCCGATACTTCTTTAATTAAGAGGATTGGCAAGGTGTTGCAAATAAGCCAAATTACCATTATAGCGGATGGAATGTTATTAGTGCCCCAGCCTCTTTTTTTTTTCTAGTCAAACCATAATTAATTGGAGGTAGCAGCTCTTATTCTTTCCACGTCCTTCCTCGTCATTTTCCCATTTACTCTTCAAATGTCTCACATGCACAACAAATGGCTCTTTCCTTTCCTCCACTTCATGTTTTCAACTATCATCTTCTCGTTTCTTCTCTTCATTCTTTTCCACCTGTCACGCTTCTCCTTCGTCTTTCTTTCTTTCTTTGCCACCCTTTATTCCTCGGTAATTTTTTTTTAAATAGACTGATTTTGCTAAATATTTAGCTGGCAAAAAAAAGATCGATTTTAAAAACACCTCCCAGAAAACATACGAGACTACTAGTTCCGTATGTTTTCAGTGTGCTAATCACGGAGTAGTGCTCTCAGAAAACATACGGGACTACTAGTCCCGTATGTTTTCAGCTGAGCGTTTTTTTAAAATCGACCTCTTTTTGGCCTGTTAGCAAAAAAGAGGTCGATTTTGCTAAATATTTAGCAAAATGGTCGATTTTACTAAATATTTAGCAAATCGGTCTATTTAAAATTTTCCTTATTCCTCTCTTTAGTCATGGTAGTTGGTGCGTCCACTGGCTACCTGCTGTAAGTTTGTAACTTGATGGAAATTTAAATGAGCATTTGCGCCTGATACGGAACCAAGACCTTAAGGGGGTATGCAAACCCTACCTTTTTTCTTCGGTTGCAATTGTGGATGCATAACATTAATTGTTCTCCTTGACAATTTTATAGTTTACTATGATTTAGTTCGAACTTTTCCAAAATACCGACGTTACGAAACTCTTGAGTGGAGAAATGGATGGCAATACAGGCCAGTAAAGAAATGTTGGAGGGATGGAGCTAGGTAATTAAAGAGATGAACGTACGGAGGAAGAAAGTAGTTTGGGTTTTTAAGGATTTTTTAAGGCGCATATTTAACAACTCTAACTAGTTATTAAAGTGGCGGATGCCGGGTTGTGGATGAAAATACTGACAGGGGGAATACTGATGGGCAGTGCCCAGGTTGTGGGGATTAGTATCCAAAGATGAACATGTAGAGAACTCGTATCCGACCAAGTTTCTTGCAGGGAACTTGCAGAAAAGCTATGCATATAAATGTTAGGCTCTGATACCACTTGTTGTGCGTGGCGGAAGTCAAAACCAAACCGATATGCTTCGAGAGACCAAATCAAACAAACGCCGAGAGAATGTCAAACAATGCAAAATAACGGCACAAACTCAAACAACCAATTTTAACATGGTTCGCCGAGAGAATGCCAAACAACTCAAATAACGGCACAAACTCAAACAAACTGAGATTACAAAATCACACAAACTCATCAATTAATCTCATCAACAAAGTTCTAATTCTCTCCAAACAAAATTCTAACCAATAGCTCAGAAAATACCTCTTTTTTGTGCTTCAAATATCCCCTTCGCTGCTTTTCTCTTCTAAAACGTTCTATATATATAGAAATCCTAAAACCAAAAACATATTAGGAATTCTAAAACCAAAATCAAAACAGATTAAGAATCCTAATAACCTGTTACCAAAATAGATTAGGAATCCCAATAAATTATTACCGAAACATATTAGGAATCCTAATAACATGTTATCAAAATAAATTAGGAAATATATTAGGAACTTGCTATTTAACAATAAATGGCATCTAGCAATCACCTTTGTTTTTTTGTAAATGCTCTTTTTAGCTCATGCATGTGATGCAAAATTTTGCTATTGCATTATTGTGAGATTTCACTGCTTGTAGCAAGGTTACTGAAAGCGCTAGGCGGCGTAAGAGTTGAACCCGACGCCTAATGCATAGGTGGAGTCTAAGCGGTTCTCCTATTTTCATTAGTAATTACAATAATTAATGGTAAATGTGTTATATAAAGCTTAGGTGTCAGACTAGCACCTAGAGGGTTTTTTTTTTCTTCGTTTAAGTGGTGGAAGAGAAGATTTTGCTAAAAATTGGAGGAAGTGCTCATAGTTGGAGGCTGGAGGAGTTTGGAGGACGTTGAGTCTACAATGGTGAAAATCACGATCAATGCCTAAAAGATGCAGTCCACATAAGCAGCCCACACTCTCCTAGGCACCCCAAAACCTAGGTGAGTAGCTTAGGTACCGATTAGGTGCTAAGCTGACGGCCTACATTCTGCCTAGGCCTAGGCGGGTTAGGTGGAGGAATTTTAAACATTGGCATGCAGACGGCCATATTACACGCCCTAGGCATGTGTTTATTTTGTGTAAATTGGGAAGTTACATGTGGAGGGGGTAATTATTCTCCTAAAAAGACATGGAAGTAAACGGGAAAGCATATGGCAAAGGAACAGAAGAATAAATATACCCAATTTGTACCCACCGTCTTTTCTATAAAAAAGGATACGGTTTATTTATGGGAAAATTTACAAAATAGACCGTTTTTATAAAGTAATTAGCGAAATAGACCGTTTTTAAAAGTAATTAGCAAAATAGACCGTTTTTTGGCAAAAGAGGTCGATTTTGAAAAAGGGTTCAGAAAACATACGGGACTACTAGTCCCGTATGTTTTGTTAACAAACAGAAAATATACGGGACTAGTAGTCCCGTATATTTTCTGAGTGAGATTAAACATACGGGACTAGTAGTCCCGTATGTTTTCTGAACCCTTTTTCAAAATCGACCTCTTTTACCAAAAAACGGTCTATTTTGCTAATTACTTTTAAAAACGGTCTATTTCGCTAATTACTTTATAAAAACGGTCTATTTTGCAAATTTTCCCTTTATTTATTCATCAGTAAAACATCTGCTTTACTCGACTGCTCCGTGTAATTCTAGTACGGATCTTTTTCGACCTCATCTAACTTCATTGCTGCCCACGAACTTTTCTCTCTAATTCCTGATTGCTGACTGATTTGTGTCGTTATTGGCCATAATAAAGATAAATCTTGTGATTTTCTCGTCTCTGGAATGAAGTTATATTCAACTGTTCAGAAATGAAAAGGGCAGTTTTCGGTTCAGAAGCTCGATAACAATTGTTTTCTTATTTTATAGGAAAGGCTCGAGTTATCGAGTCTGGAGATAAGCGCTTCAAAAATTTCCTTGGATGGAATGCATGCGTAAAACTTTATATCGGTTCTACTGTTTATAAATTTGCTATTTACGCCAGTTCTTTTTGTTCCGAATCATTCTTCCTTTGCATTGTTTTTATACTCATTGTAAAAACATAATATTTATATTTTGCTGCACAATTTTCACGAGGCAGAGGAAACATGATGCCTGCCATCCTCTCAAGGATCCTCAATTCTTTGTGATGTACGTTTGATGTTACTTTGCCAGTTGTTGGTGAATGATACCGAAGTTCAGCAAGATCAGCAAAGTGGGGATTAGGATATCCAGGAATCAAGATAAATGAGTGCATTGGCATAGTGTCCAACTTCTTCCGTAACCGGCATTTTGTAGTTCATTGCTGACTCCTGCTTACTGTATCCATTGCTTTGTTAGCAGTGAACCCTGGAATGTGTGAATAACATAATCAAGCTCACTATTCTTTGGCTATTTCAGATGTTCCGAGTTCTATGGTTTACACTGATAAATTTAAAAAAAAATGTCTTAACCTGTAGATCGTATGCATTCTGTGTCCTTATATGTAGGCTATAATGTCAGTTTTTCTTCCAATGTACTTGCAAATATTAAGACGTCTATTGTGATGAGTCATCCTTGCAGCGGACTAGAAGCTCTGTTTATGTACAGGAGTAATCCAAAATATTCACTTGCCTTTTCCCGTCAGGAGGTTGCAATTGTATGCTGTTACTGCTGCGACAACCAAAACTAATCTTCGGTGACAACAGAAACCAAATCAATCAGTGGTTGTTTCCACTTTAACACAACCAAAACTAATCTTTGATGAGAATAGAAACCAAAGCAACCAGTGTCTTAACCTCTGAAGTATTATACAATTCCTGCTTCTAGCATACTTAGATATTAGCAAACCAGCCACGCAGGTTTGTCCAAATTGCGTACCAGGTGACACTGTAGATATCCAACTTCCAGTATAGATGAGGTGGAAATGGTAAACAAGTTCGCGACAAAGGGAAGAGAGGGGAATAGAGGCGGCAAAAAAAGAAAAAAAGCCTGCTCCATCGTCAATCACGCGACAAAGGGAAGAGAGGGGAATAGAGGCGGCAAAAAAAGAAAAAAAGCCTGCTCCATCGTCAATCAGTTGAGTGCTCCCTCTGCCAGAAAACCATCAGGTTTTTAGCTCCTCAAACCTCTTGAGAAGGCTGGACCTGTAAACTTCAACTTCAGCATGCTCACTGGAATTTGGAGTGGAATTGACGATAGGAACTGCACCAGCTTGATGTAAAGCCTCAGCTGCTACACCTGCAGTTCTCCAACAGGGACAAAAGAGAAGTCTGAGGTTACAAATTAGCTTAAAATTTGACAATTATTGCCACATACTCAGGCTCTTGTTAGTTCTGTTTACTAAGAACAGAAAGACGGCTGCAAAAGGAAGACAACGTCGCAATTAAATGTTACATTTGCCATTTAACCTATGTTAAATGCAATATTTCAGATAAGTGTAAAAGGTAAAGGTTATAAAAATATGTACAAACTTCAAGGTAGGGTGACGCTATATGTTTCAACCCAAGTAACTTTTTCTTCCATAAAAGAATATGAAGATGTTAAGTTCATTTCATTTTAGGGAAAAATGCTTCCAGCCCCCAAAAGCTAAGAAAACGTGTTTCTCACCCCCAAGACTTTGTCAACGGGTGTTTTACCCTCAAAAATAAAGATTCTGTTCTCTGAGCCCCCAAAACACAAAACCCAAAACATTAAAACATGTGAAGACCATAATACCCTTCTCTCTCTCTCTTTCTTTTTTTATTAAAATATGATGATGATTATTTTATTATTTTCGTTTTCTCTCTCTCTTTATCATGATGTACTAAGATGACAGTTGAAATGATTGATGAGGATTATTTTATTATTTTCGTTTTTTTATTATTTTGGTTGTTTGTATTAGGAGATTGTTAAAGTTACGGGTTAATTGTTAAGGTTACGACTTAATTGTTAATGTTACGGGTCAATTGTTAAGGTTATGAATCCTCTCACTCTCTTTCTTTTTTTATTAAAATATGATGATGATTATTTTATTATTTTTGTTTTCTCTCTCTTTATCATGATGTACTAAGATGATAGTTGAAATGATTGATGATTATTATTATTATTATTATTATTATTTTATTATTTTGGTTATTTGTATTGGAAGATTGTTAAAGTTATGGGTTAATTGTTAAGGTTACGAGTTAATTGTTAATGTTACGGGTCAATTGTTAAGGTTATGAATCCTCTCTCTTTTTTTTTTATTAAAATATGATGAGGATTATTTTATTATTTTTGTTTTTTCTCTCTTTATCATGATGTACTAAGATGATAGTTGAAATGATTGATGATGATTATTTTATTATTTTCGTTTTTTATTATTTTGGTTGTTTGTATTGGGAGATTGTTAAAGTTACGGGTTAATTGTTAATGTTACGAGTTAATTGTTAATGTTACGGGTCAATTGTTAAGGTTACGGGCCAATTGTTATGAATCCTCTCTCTCTATCTATCATGATGTTTCTTTGATGATATTGAAATGATTAAAGAGGATTATTATTTTTATTTTTGTTTTTTATTCTTTTTGTATTTTTAGAATATTCGTTGTTAAGGATAATGGTTGGTTGTAAAGGTTATGCATTGATTGTTAAGGTTACGGGTTGGTTGTTAAGGTTAAGGATTTGTTGTTAATGTTATGGGTTTGTTGTGTAGGTTACGGATTTGTTGTTAAGGTTACGAGTTTAATTGTTAATGTTACGGGTTTAATTATTAAGGTTACGTATTTAATTGTTAAGGTTACGGGTTTAATTGTTACGGTTACGGTTTATTAATTGTTAAGGTTTAATTGTTAAGGTTACGGATTTAATTGTTAAGGTTACGGATTTAATTATTAAGGTTACGATTTTAATTGTTAAGGTTACGGGTCAATTGTTAAGGTTATGGATCCCTTCTCTCTCTCCCTCGTAACCTTAACAATTAAACCGTAACATTAACCATTAAACCGGTAACCTTAATAATTAAACCCATAATCTTAATAATTAAACTGTAACATTAACAATTAAACCCGTAACCTTAACAATTAAAACCGTAACCGTAACAATTAAACCCGTAACCTTAACAATTAAACCAGTAACCTTAACAATTAAACCGTAACCTTAACAATTAATAAACCGTAACCGTAACAATTAAACCCGTAACCTTAACAATTAAACCCGTAACCTTAACAATTAAACCCGTAACCTTAACAACAAATCCGTAACCTACACAACAAACCCATAATCTTAACAATAAACCCTTAACCTTAACAACCAACCTGTAACCTTAACAATCTATGCATAACCTTTACAACCAACCATTATCCTTAACAACGAATATTCTAAAAATACAAAAAGAATAAAAAACGAAAATAATAAAATAATAATCCTCTTTAATCATTTCAATATTATCAAAGAAACATCATGATAGAGAGAGAGAAAGAGAGAGAGAGAGTGAGTGAGGATTCATAACCTTAACAATTGACCCGTAACATTAACAATTAACTCGTAACCTTAACAATTAACCCGTAACTTTAATAATCTCCCAATACAAACAACCAAAATAATAAAAAACAAAAATAATAAAATAATCATCATCAATCATTTCAACTATCATCTTAGTATATCATGATAAAGAGAGAGAAAAAACAAAAATAATAAAATAATCCTCATCATATTTTAATAAAAAAAGAAAAAGAGAGAGAGGATTCATAACCTTAACAATTGACCCGTAACATTAACAATTAACTCGTAACCTTAACAATTAACCCGTAACTTTAACAATCTCCCAATACAAACAACCAAAATAATAAAAAATGAAAATAATAAAATAATCCTCATCAATCATTTCAACTATCATCTCAGTACATCATGATAAAGAGAGAGAAAACAAAAATAATAAAATAATCATCATCATATTTTAATAAAAAAAGAAAGAGAGAGAAGGGTATTATGGTCTTCACATGTTTTAATGTCTTGGGTTTTGTGTTTTGGGGGCTCAGAGAACAGAATCTTTATTTTTGAGGGTAAAACACCTGTTGACAAAGTCTTGGTGGTGGGAAGCACGTTTCCTTAACTTTTGGGGGCTGAAAGCATTTTTCCCTTCATTTTATTATGATGTGTGGAGGCAAAAACTTCCAGATTTTAAACTCAACCTCACCCAAACTGACAAATATGAAGATGGAAACAGGCCTCATAAAATTTTATAGTCACGTATGCGCTAAAAGAACAGTAATTTATAGATTCAGATCCTATCCTGATTGGTTGGGATCTGAAATTTCTGAATAAAATTTAAAATCCATCCAGCCATTTCATAATAGGCACATTAGGACCACTTATGAGGTCTCTCCTCTAAATTCTTGATGAAGAGAGGATCTGAAAAGTGAGATACTGTGTTATTACGTCATGAACAATGCAATACTAAATCTGATTAATCTTGTTTTGGTTCCATATTTGCCTTTACTTGAAGCTAAAAGAAGCAGATTGGGCAGAAAAGGCAGGACCTGAAGGAGTTAAAATGTTGAGCAGAAATCAAGTGGTTAAACCACTTCTTGGGATGTGCAAAACTCAAAGGTCACGTACATCGTTTACTAAAGCACCCATATCTACTTATATTTGCCTTGGCTTACCCAAACCACTCATTGTACCAGCCTATAATAGACAAAGCTGAGAAAAACCATACACCTTATGAAGGAAGAACTTCTACAAGTTCTTGTCATCCATCAAGCAATATCAAATGTTTTACTTGGTAATAATGTAAAAGCAATGTTGAGATACTCATGCAAGTCCAAATAATACAGATCACATTTATATGAAAGCTCACGCCTCGGAGTTTTACTACTATATTCAATGATGACATGTTCTTGAAATCTACAACCCAGTGTGCAAACGCAAAATTTATGAGATAAGATCTAATCATTATTTCATCTCAAGCTGAATACACTCGATTGTTTCTTCCTGCAGCTGTTAGAACTGACTTCTTGCCAAGAACAATTAACAACTAACTTCTCATCTATACATCACAATTTCATTCTTTCACTATCAGGTAGTTTCTTACATTCGTTAGATCTGTAAATTTTAATTTAAATAAAAAGTTTGCTGATATTTTTTGCCAAAACAGAAAGAATACAATTTTCAACTTAAACATCACTGATTGAGCTTATATATATATATATTTCACTTTGATGCTGGACAAAGTAGTATCTTCAACAAGGCAAAGAAGTAGGATTAAAAAAGTGAAATATAAAATATTTGAATATCAAGCAGAACATGCCATTCAAGGATTAAAAGTCATTAAAACAATAGATCTTGTTTGAAAGTCGTTGTTTGATCTCGGATAAAGGAGCTTAAATGACAACTTTCAACACTCACCAGAGTAAGAAAGGGCAACTAAAGCTTTGAGAGCTTCTTTACGTGTTTTGTCATCTTTGCCGGTTTCCAGCATATTCAGAAGACCTGGAACTCCACCCATCTCTACTACTCTCACCCTTCTTTCATCTGCAATCGGGAAAGTTCAAAAGCATCGGAAAACTTCGATCTTTTAGGTCCCAACCTGAGTTCTTAAAAAAGAAGACAAAAGAACCTTGGGTATTGCTTTACTTGCTTTGTACGTTAACATGCCATCACTTCCATACATTGATATACAATTGAATTTGAAGATGTCTATTGAAGTTTAGACGTCAGAGTTACAATGCTTCACAAACTTAATGAGTGAAATGGTATATGCCTATAGAAGCTTTCCTAAATGAGAAAACAAAAATATTCAAAACGAAAAGAAAAGGATGTAACAATCTTTCCAAACTGCTTTCCCATCTCCTCTTTGCATAAGAAACTATACAAGAGCATAATGGCCGAAAATAAGGGTATCAAGGAAAATAATAAGGATCTGAAAGCCAGCTAAGCTGACAGAGGGAAGATTTTCAGGAAACTTATGATAATGAAATTAAATCAATGTTCAATTTGAGTCCAAGAGAAGCCTTCAATTTACTGACAAAAACTCAGACCACAAATTTAGTTCATCTAGGGGTGTCCAATTGGGCTTTTGGCCCGAGCCCGGGCCGGTGTCCAGCCCGCGGCCTGGGAAAAGCCTGGAAAATCTGGGCCGACTGGGCTCCGGGCGCGGGTCTGGGATGTGTTGGTGAAGCTCGACCCAGGCCCGGTTATTAAATTTATATATTTTTAATATATTTTTTATATTTAATTATATTATGATATGGTCATTAATGTACACATATATATTTCTAAGTGTATATGTTTTTTTAAGGAAAATGGTCGTAGCCTCCTAGTCCTAAGTGTATATAGTTGTGTGTGACTATATATATATATATATA